TTGAAGGGTGGGATATGGCGTGAATTTACTGGGTACAGAGGAATAACATCTGAGTACTCAGGAATGGCAACACATGGGGGGTATCATGGGCGAAACAGTATACTCTGTTATGTCCATGGTACTGCTCATGTCTATAGGCGATGGTTACCACTTTCCATCAGGTGGGCCGTCAGCTTGTTTGCCATTCTGTTGTATAAAAAAAAAGAAATCCCCGCTTGCGCTAACGGTATATGCTGGCGGGGCACCAGTGAGGGATGATAGATGAGACAGGTCAATTAGCCCATCGTGATGAGTACACCTGGAATTCAACACGATGGTTTCCAGGTGTTGTCCGCGTGGTGGTCGAGACGAGGTTTTCATTTCATTATCATCCATTTAAAAAAGATGTGTTTAATGGAAAGATTGTATTATGTGTCGAATAGAAACATAACTTTTAGCAGTTATGAAATAACTTTATGAAATATAACGCTATCTCCCTACTGCTTACCCACTTGCCCGAAATGCCAAGCCTTTGTACTACAAAGGAAGCGATAATCCAATTCTAAGTAATTCAACTTGATAAGATACTTTTTGCGAGTGCTATATCGCTTTCCAAATACGGATAAGGCTGGCCAGATGTTGTTCGGTGGGAGGAGAAGGGATTGTTGGTGATGGGGACTGGTACGAGTAGCTCCATTGCTAACAAGTAATGTACCTTGTCAGGTCGATCTTCACGATGTTTTCCCTAAGAACCGTCGTGGTTTATTCTAGTGGAAATCGTCATGGGCTAACTAACCTGTCTCTTCATCCTCACCTGTCGTCCCTCGCTGGTGTCCACGTCAGCGTATCCCGATAGCGCAGGCGGGGTTACCATACCATTTTCACCCATCAAAAAAATAAAATATATGTAATATATATAAATATATATAAATATATATATATATATATATATATATATATATATATATATATATATATATATATATATATATATATATATATATATATATATATATATATATATATATATATATATATATATATATATATATATATATATATATATATATATATATATATGGTAGATCTCCTGTTTTCATTCTCATCTATCATCTCTCACTCAATCCAATATGATCCTATAAAACTTTTATTTATATAGAATCTTCAGTATACCCGTTAGCTAAGTATAAATACTACTAAAATACTACAAATTGTTTGTACTCTTATATCAAACCGTACTATATATACATATACATATATATAACCATTTGCAAACATACTTTTCTATTGACACAAGTGTTACTTATATTTGGATTGTGATCTAACACGCTAATGCCTACAGTCAACATTTCTACCAAAACAATAAGATTATCACCATCATTCTGTGTGTGATCATTGTGGTTCTAAGGTGTGAGGATGGATCACCTACCGATGGTGTGGCTGTAGGCATCATATAAAAGTGTTCTTTAATGTACAATTTAAATTAATTAAAAAAGCTAAAATTCTAAGAATCGAATTCACCAGACAGGGACTTTGTACAAAAATCTTGATTTTACCGTGAAGCAGTTGTGTTTGCATGGCTGTGTTTCGGTTTGAAGAGTGGGATATGGCGTGAATTTACTGGGTACAGAGGAATAACACCTGAGTCCTCAGAAATGGCAACGCATGGGGGGTATCATGGGCGAAACGATAATAATATAGGCGAGGGTTACCACTTTCCATCAGGTGGACCGTCAGCTTGTTTGTCATTCTAAATGGTATAAAAAAAAAAATTTGGCGGCCCGTCCCTGCTTCGCACGGGTGGACATTTTTACAACATTATAAAAAGTTATTATTGTGACATAACGATAATAGTTGGACATATAGTATCGCGAAGTTTTTTGTAGTTATTGATATTTTCTTCAATATTGTAGAACATACTCTTGTTCTATCACCAATAGTTTCAGCAGCGCACGCGACGAAGGATATTTTATAGCATTTTTTTACACCTCGAGTTACGTTACTAAAGTTTTAATTATGATCCCTAATCTTTTCTAGCAATAAATATAGCCTATGTTACTCAGGGTGAATGTAGCTTTCTAATGGTGAAAGAATTTTTGAAAGCGGCAAAGTAGTTTTATAGTTTATTCATTACAAACATACATACACACAAAAATACAAGTTTTTTTTCTTTATAATATTAGTGTACATGTAGACTAGTGTAAAGGACGGTTATACATTACTCACTTGTGTTTGGATTATGACCTAACACTAGTTAATGTCTACAGTCAACATTTCTACCAAGACAATAATATGATGACCTACATTGTTATCAATTGAATACCAAAGAACTAAACATTTATACATTTTTCAAACGACTTTTAAAAAAGAAGTCCTTAATTCGATTGTATTTTTTTTGCTACCTCATAACTTCGTCAGTTAAAAACTGATTTGCAAAAGTCTTTTTTTTTTATTTTGAAGGATATACATACTTACAGATTAGTCCCAAAGATTTTTTTCAAAATCGGTTTAGTTATTTTTAAAACAAAGATTCAAGATTCAAAATTCAAGATTATTTATTTGTAAAACATGCGTATAAATACATGAAGATGTTAATAATATAATCTCGTTCGATATACATATGTATTTAGCCTGTACGTACAGCATACAAAAATATGTAATTACACAGACAGTTAAAAATTATACATACAAGTCAATTTCATACAATTATTCGTCATCACATTCAAATTTTAAATACATTTAAATAAATAATAATAATAATTGTCAGGCAAGAATAACTAGTTTTGTCACAACTGAAGTCTGTTTTATGCGACGTAATCTTTATTTATTTATTTATTTAATTCTTTATTGTACACACCAGTTATAAGAATTCGGTTTGAAGGGTGCGATATGGCGTGAATTTACTGGGTACAGAGGAATAACACATGAGTCCTCAGGAATGGCAACGCATGGGCGTTATCATGGGCGAAACAGTATACTCTGTTATGTCCATGGTACTGCTTATGTCTATAGGCGACGGTTACCACTTTCAGATGGACCGTCAGCTTGTTTGCCATTTTAAGTTGTACAAAAAAAAAGAATATGACAGACGTAATCAAATGTACGAAGGCGAGCTTAACTCTAATAGAGTTCTCTTCCAGTAAACCCAAAGTGGAAAGGAGTATCAATGTCAGCGGCTAGAGCGGTGTACAATCTTTAATTAACTATTTTTATCATAACCATTTGTTTTTGATAAAAAATTTTATTAATTACATGTTACATTGTAGTTGTGCTTACATCATTGTTTTTGAATCGAAATAACTGGTTTTGCTACAGTCGGTTTTTTTGTGGGATTAAATTTTATTTTTGGATGCACCTATTTGATTATCTTTTATCCATAAACTGACCAACCATTTCTTACTAACAGAATTGGGACTAAACAAAGTCTATACATGGGAGATACTTAAGAAAAAAATATTATGATGGGTCTTAACACGCCTAATAGTGGGGGAAAGGGATTGTTAGCATTGGAGTTTGACAGCCCCGTTGCTACCAATATGCCCTATTAGATTGACCTCCACGTGGTTTTCCCTGGAAACCATCGTGAACAATTCTTGTTGAATTCGTCACGATGGGCTAACTAACCTCCTTAATCCTCACCTATCATCTTTCACTGGTGCCCCGCCGGTGTAAACCGATAGCGCGCGTGGATTTACCATTCCATTAACACCCATTAAAAAAAATAAGCCTAATAAATAAATAGATAGGTTTATTTGCATTACTTACAACACACAAATAATAACAGACATAGATACATATTTATTTATTTATTTGAAAATTACTCACCACACTTACAGTTTCCCAAAACGTGTAGTGAGCCATAGTTTTATTTTACAAACTTACATGCAAATAAAAAGAGATAAAAGAGTACATATACCAGTGGTGGCTAATTGGTCAATCGCGACTATTAGTCCAGTCGATCGTGGCAAGGCAAACAATATAATATTTTGCTAATCTAGCGGAAGATGCTCGGACGCAATGCTCACGCTAATATAAATAAGTAGTTGCTGAGAATACTTTTCAGTTTTATGTTTCCCCTCTTAATAAAATAAAAAATACACTACAATACTACATAATTGTGTACTGAACTATGTTGTTTCATTTGTGATTTCAAGAAGTATGCAATTGGTAGATCGCACAGGGTTTCGTCAGTAAACGGTAGGTCTTGGGTCTAGTCAAGTTGGCCGCCCCTTATATATACAAAAGGAAAATATATAAAAAAAGTAACATTATTTTGCATTTATGCCACAATAACACAGTAAGTAGGTGCCAGAACAATGTTTATCTATCTGCATGTTTGTTCTGGCATCGGTTAGACTTCTGCACTTAATTGTTGCGGTTTCACAGTACCGTTACTAAAGGATATAGTTTATCTTCAAGCGCTATCTAAAAATGATAATTTCTTGTAATGGTTTATGTCTATAATAATTTAGCAGAGGGAAACTTTGTACAAAAGTAGCTTGCTTAGGTACCTCTGTCCCATTCGTCTTTCTACCGTGAAGCAGTTGTGTTTGCATGGCTGTGTTTCGGTTTGAAGGGTGGGATATGGCAGTGAGATTACAGGGTACAGAGCTATAACACTCAAGTCCTCAGGAATGGCAACGCAAGGGAGGTATCATGGACAAAACAGTATACTTTGTTATGTCCATGGTACTGTTTATATTGATAGACGACGGTTACGCCTTTACGCGGTAGGATTTATGACAAACGAAATGTTAAATTCCATTTGCTGGACTGATTTCAGTATGCCCAAATACATGAAATTGAGTTTGAAAATTCGGAAATTTATTTCACAGTAGCTCCCCTGTTTTCTTTCTCGTCTATCATCCCTCACCCAATAATTCCATTATCATCCCTTAAAAATACTTTTACTTATATAAAATCTATATAAATTAATTATAGGTTATTGTGTTTTTTTTTCTGTTCCTTGATCTTTATTTTATTTTTAAATTAAGTACAATTTTTTCTTTTTTTTCTTTCAGTACGACAAAGACAACGATGGGAAAATATCGTACACCGAACTCAAAGAGATCATAGAATCCCGCGAGTACGACCACGACTTGCCAGACAATGTGGTGGACAAGATCATGAACCTGGCCGACCGGGACAACTCCGGTTATCTGGACTTCCACGAGTTCGTAGAAATGATGCACAACCCTGACTTCAAGATGATATTCGGACATTTCGTCGCTAGATATGTCCATTCAATTATCCCGCAGCGCAACCCTGTGGATACTACAGGTAAATAAACAAAATGGCTACTAGTTAAGTTATGCACAAGCTGAAATCGAAGTCGTTAGCGATAATTGAAATTATGAATCTATATATGCTATAGAATAGATTTCGTAAATGAAAAACGACAAAAGTTTTACGCCTTCCATACTAACTCAACAACTGAACGTGCCTTGTCAGCACAACCCAGAATCTAACTTATTCATTGCCAACAATACACCTTATCAGGTCGACCTCCACGTGGTTCCCCCTAGAAACTATCGTAGTTAATTCTAGTGGAATTCGTCACAATGGTCCAACTGACTTGCTTTCATCGTCACCTATCATCCTTCACTGGTGCCCCGCCAGCGTATACCGATAGCGCAGGCTGGGTTACTATTCCATTATCACTCATTAAAATAAAGCACATACCGGATACTTCAAACAAAAACGCCACGATCCGTGCCTGTCACAACTACAGAAACAAGTAACGTCTGTACATAGAACAATGTGTGCGTGTGTAGTTACAAATAGCGCGCGAAAATAGTTTGTATACTGACGCGTGTTTGAGAGGGGGTGAGGTCAGATCGTAGCGGGCGGCAGGGAGTGTTCATACAGTACAGCAGTACTTTAGTACTGTTACTTACACTGTAGTTAGTATGGGAGGCTCAACATTATTTGTCGTTTTTCAAACTAAATTTCTTAGGTAATCTTAGATTATATAGATAAAGCATCCAGTGTAAAAAACAGGTCGACTTTTAGTCAACTAAAAGTCAAATTGGCTGACACTATTTTTTTAAATCAAAACAATCGCACCTTTTTTTTTTTTAATGTTGCAAGTAGAGTACAAATGTCCTAAATCAGATTGATTTTTTAAATTGGAATTAATAACTATTTTACATCTAAAATTCTTATGTATGTTTTTCTTACAAAGTAATATACTTACATGTATTAAAAAAAATTGTGGCCATTTTCAAAAATGTAAATATATTTTGTCTAAACTCAGGCATAAATCAAAGTATTAATAAGAAATAAACATAATTATGAATTATTATGAACTCTTTAGGTTCTCTGGCTCTTTCAAGTAGGTATGTTATAAAACTTTTGTGTCATTGTTTATTTTTCATTTAACCATTTAATATTCTTTCTCCCATACACGTAGTAATAAATGTACATCATAATCTCATGTGTGTATTTATTACATAGAAAACGGTATGTTATCGAATTTAGAATAAAATATGACAAATTTGGAACGGGAATGACATAATAATTTTTGTAAATTATGAATAAATTATTTGTATCTGTAACCCTTTTCACACAGCATAGAAAAAAAAATTACCTGCTTTTAGTGAAGCCTTTTTATGGAGACACTCTATCTATTCTATATAATCTAAGATGACAATGTTCAGTTTATCCATAGAACACTCTTTTAAAAGGATGCGATGACAGTTTCAATTTCAGTCTGCATAGACGGCGGCAAATAATTAAAACACCATTTTCGTATCACGTGACATGTCAACGCATGCGCTGTGATAATTTTACGTACAATATCATCAAACACACGCTTCATTATCTATGGTTTAATACCGTTCAAATTGTTTGCCGCCAACTGTATATAGTACATACTGTAATATATGTAGTAGAAAGTAAATTAATAATATAGTAGTACATAATTATATGTATATAAGTGTATATATGTAGTGAAATTTTAATAATAATTATTTTAATAGATAATTATGTGAAAAAATCGATCGAATCAAATTGAAACTACGAACATATGTTTTATTTACTATACGTTTTTAATTTATAAAGGTTTTATTTTGTTTACTTACACAAAATTAAGATTTTGGCTTTCGACTAAAGAAAGCTAGTTAAAAGTGGTTTAAACTTAAATATACCTACGTAATTTTTACAGAACTTGAATGTAATAATATCCAATAATCCAATGACGTAACAGATTTGATTTGAAATAAAGAAAGAAAAAAATTATTTAGTGGCATACATAAACATTTCGCTGTGTCGGTCCCGGCATAGAATGGACCACCCCTTCCTTTCCCGTGGGTGTCGTATAAGGCGAATAAGGAAGCTCACAGTGGAGGAATGGGCAGCAGCGTCCCTCTTAAAACATCTCCAAAGCCTAATTGCGGTCGCCAACCCGCCTGCAAGCGTGGCAGCTATTGGTAAAACCCTCCAAGGGAGGGGACTTAAGTTCAGCAGTGGACAGTTAAAGGCTGATATAAAAATAAATTTGTATATTTATAAGAGAATTATGAAACGTCTCTTTAATTACATAATTAATTATTCATTACATAACTTATAAAATGCTAGCAAATTACAGTTTATCCACAGCGTAATACATAGACACCTATTGAACAAACAAAAGCCTTGTTGTCTTACTTGACTATGACATCGAACCTAAGACCTTTAGCAACCCACGTCACTAGACTAATATGTCCGTTTTTTTTTATACAACTTAAAATGGCAAACAAGCTTGATGGAAAGTGGTAACTATGACATCGAATGGACATAACTAAGACCTGATTTGCCATTCCTGAGGACTCAGGTGTTATTCCTCTGTAGCCAGTAAATTCACGCCATATCCTACTTTTCAAACCAGAGATGTGCAAAATAGTTTATTGAAAGTACTTATTTGAATTCAAAATGCAAATATTTGGTTATTTTTTAATTTCAAATAAAAATACAAATTAGTTTTAAAACAAAGTATTTAAATACAAATACCTATTTTCAGAATAGCTTTTTCAATAATAATAATACTTACCAAATGGAGACTGCACAAAAGTCGTTTGCTTTCTCTGTCCCATTTTAACGTGTTTCAACCAGTTGTGTTTGCATGGCTGTGTTCCGGATTGAAGGGTGGGATATGGCAATGAAATTACAGGGTACAAAGGCATAATACCTTAGTCCTTAGGACTGGCAATGCAAGGGGGGTATCATTGGCGAAACAGTATACTCTGTTATGTCCAAGGTACTGTTCATGTCTATAGACGACGATTACCACTTTCCATCAGGTGAGCTGTCAGCTTGATTGCCATTCTAAAAAAATTGGTTTCGTCCCGAGTACAAACTACCTGTTTAAAATAAATAAAAACAAATAATATTTTATTATTCAAATAAGCTTGCATTTTTGAATAGTATTTTTTTATGGTTTTACCGTACAAACGAAAAGCCATATTCTTATTTCTCTAATTTTAACTCTAGCATGTATTCAGAAAGTTCATTTTTTCATGTTCCGTCTATACAGCTGTGGCTGTTTACTACTGTTTCTTGAGTACGCATTCACTTACCTGCCGTAGATTGAGCATAATACTTGGGCATCTTTAAATCTTTCTACGCTACCTGCCATCACGACAATAATGCCAACATGAAAACAAAAATATGTCAACATTTAGTTTGGGTGCGTTCATAAATTATGTAATTTTAAATTTAAGAATGAAAAATACATTACTACAATATTTTAAAAAATTAACAAAGCCATTTATTTATTTATTTAATAATTACTCACCGTACTTACAGTCTCCCAAAACGTGTAGTGAACCATAGGTTTATTTTACAAACTTACAAATTTTGTACAACATTTTAAAAATATATCTAGTTTGTCATTAAATATATCAATATCTGGCATCATATATCATATATCAATATTTTGCATTTTATATAAAATATATTTACATAGAGTATTTGAAAACAATTGCATTTTTATAAGTAGGTAATGTATTTGCATTTTAAATGTATGTATTTAATAATAATACATATCATTGATTAGTACTAATTATCAACAAACTTGAAAAAGGAGGCTCTTAATCCGACGGTGTTTTTTGTATGTTTTTTTTTTGGTGGATGAAAATGGTATGGTAACCCCGCCTGCGCTAACGAGATACGCTGGCGGAGCACCAGTGAAGGGTGATCGATGAGAATGAAAACGGCCAGTTAGCCCATCATGACGAATTCATCAGGAATTAACCATGATAGTTTCCAGGGGGAACCGCAAGGAGGTCGATCTGGTTGGGTACATTTTTAGCAATGGGATTTTTAGTCTCCAATCCCTACTTACAATCCCTTTCCCCCGTTTTTTGATGTTAGATAGGACTGTTAACGCCAAATTTGCACTGATACTGATGATTCTGTCCATAACCAATTGCTGTGCTCTCGTATTGGTCTATACTAACTTGTCATAATTGAATCAATTTTTTTTTTTGTTGAACAAAATCATTGAATGTTATCAGAAAATAACGTCAAATACAAATATTCCATTGTAATCTTATCTGTTTGATTATAACATAAATGAAAGCTCAATATTTAAACAATGACTCACATAATGAGTAAGTTAAGTAAATTGTCATATAATATTTATTTGGTAATATTATCTAAACGCACACACATAACACAGTATTTCGTCTATACTTACTAATTTAGAGGCATATTATAAATTGTACAATTCTATGAATATTAATTTCTTTTATTATGTTGGTTCTATTTGGTTGCATAGTTTTATTTTCTAGTTTCGTCAATATAAGGACAATGCTGACTCTTAAATAACATAAGGATTCTTTAGTGTCCTTATAAGATCTAAATGAACTTAATTTTTTTTTTATACAATTTAGAATGGCAAACAAGCTCACGGTCCACCTGATGGAAACTCTGTACCCAGTAAATTCACGCCATATTCCACCCTTCAAACTGAAACACAGCCATGCAAACACAACTGCTTCATGGTAGAAACACGAATAGGACAGAGGTACCCAAGCATCGACTTTTGTATAAAGTCCCCCTCTGGTAAAATTAGTTCTTATATTCAGCAGTAGACAGTTAAAGGCTGATGTGTTGATGATGACAATGATAATATTGGGGATATTATTAGGTATTATAAATAAAAAAATATGTTATTAGAAAAATATATAGGTTGTAATTATAATTACTTGACACCGGAGGGCGCTACTCTCACACGAAGAATAGCAGTATAACACTGTGATAATTGATAAAAATTTCACCTGTTAGAAAGGTGAACCTTATTGTTAGGCTGGTAACATACCTACGGCAAATCATTAGGTTTCCTGTGCTAACATATTTTTACGAGCTGCATTTTTTATTTTATTTCATCTACTATTAATATTAGAAGGTAAATATACGATCTGTCTACGAAATCCTTACTAATATGTATTTTAAATGTGAAAGTAAGTTTATTTGTTTATTACCTCTTAGCGACTTAACAATTTAATCAATCACTATGTAATATATATATAGTAAATACATGGGATGAAGAAATACGTAGGCTGCTTTTATCCCGGCCAGTGAATATATTCTGGTATAGTTATTCTATGGGGGAGGCTTATGTCCAGCAGTGGACGAATAATGGCTGAAATGAGAATTAATACGTGAGAACAATCATTGTTTTAGAAAAACAACGGTCAGTCGTGTCCACACTAAAATTGTATTGTGCCAGGATCAGGAAAGAGAGAACAGAACTGAGCTTTTTCAGCTATCAGCAAAGATATAAAAGATATATCTAATAGTACATATGCTCATATTATAAAGAGCTACACACCATCTCCCCCTCACCCCTGAAAAGTAATCTTAAATATCCCAATACCGGTATCTGGGGGAAGGGATTGTTAGCAATGCAGACTGCCAATCTCATTGCTAGCATTATACGTTAGCGCGAGCGAGGTTGCCATGCCATTATCACCCATTAAAAAAAATACGGATATCCTGTATGCCATTAGTATGTATCCAGCTTTATCAGAGGACACTAAGAGCAGAAGAGTGTTAAGTAGAACATGCAACACGATTTCCAAAGTACTGTATTTGTCCAAAATACAATAACCGTTATGTATGTGATTGACATACTATATGATCGGCAACAAACAAGCTAGCCTCCGTGTTTTGGTTCCAAGTTCGTTGAAATAATGGACGACTGGTTTTTGCCCGCAAATTTTTCGCGTAACCTAGATTTATACATTGAGCATTGATCAGCATGAAAAATAGCGTATATCCTGCTTCATCTCAAATATTATCTACACTAATATTATAAAGAGGAAAGATTTGTATTTTTGTGTGTATGTATGTTTGTAATGAATAAATTCAAAAACTACTTTGCCGATTTCAAAAATTCTTTCACCATTAGAAAGCTACATTCGCCCTGAGTGACATAGGCTATATTTATTGCTAGAAAGGATTAGGGATCCTTATTAAAACTTTAGTAACGTAACAGAAGGTGTAAAAAATGCTATAAAATATCTTTCGTCGCGTACGCTGCGGAAACTATTGGTGATAGAACAAAAGTATGTTGTACATTATTGAAGAAAATATCAATAACTACAAAAAACTTCGCGATACTATATGTCCAACTATTATCGTTATGTCACAATAACCACTTTTTAAAATGTTGTAAAAATGTCTACCCGTGCGAAGCCGTAATGGGCCGCTAGTACCTAATATATGTGTACCAAATTTCATGATAATTGGTAGAGCCGTTGATGTGCTAAGAGACAACAAATTCGCTTTCACATTTATAGCATGAGGAAGGATAAATTTAATAAAATATTTGACTTTATTTATTTACCAGAGGAAGACTTTGTACAAAAGTCGATTGCTTGGGTACCTCTGTCCCATTCGTGTTTCAACCGTAAAGCAGTTGTGTTTGCATGGCTGTGTTTCGGTTTGAAGGGTGGGATATGGCAGTGAATTTACAGGGTACAGAGGAATAACACCTGAGTCCTCAGGAATGGCAATGCATGGGGGGTATCATGGGCGAAGCAGTATACTCTGTTATGTCCATGGTACTGCTCATGTCTATAGGCGACGGTTACCACTTTCCATCAGGTGGGCCGTCAGCTTGTTTGCCATTCTAAGTTGTATAAAAAAATATATATTGGTTATTGGGGCAATATATAGATATTTGAATCGAATAATGTAGATATTCTTATATATATATATATATATATATATATATATTAGTCCTAATAATCGTAACACGAGTATAACTTCTTTTTTTGCGTTATTAATATTAAAAACAAAAACAAAATTTTATTATATTTTAATAAATAATGAAGGTATCGGCCTTTAACCGTCCACTGCTAAACATACCCCCCCCCCCCCCTTGGGAGATTTGCCACTATTTGCTACACTAGACAAGGTTTGGCAACTGGATTTTGGCTTTGGTGATGTTTTAAGAGAGGGACGCTTCTGCCTATCCCTCTATCATTAAATTCCCTTAGTTACATCTACGACATCCACGAGAAAGAAAGTGGTGGCCTATTTTACGTTGAGAGCACACGGCATAAAAGAACCAATTTCATCTCCCCCTTGCGAGATTTGCCACTATTTGCTACGCTAGACAAGGTTTGGCAACTGGATTTTTTCTTTGGTGATGTTTTAAGAGGGACGCTGCTGTCCGTCTACCGTTAAATTCTCTCAGTTACCTCAAGGCAACCAATTTCATTAATATTGATAATAATATTAATAAAAAAAAAAAACAAAGCAATAATAGTAAATTAGCATAAACTCGAAACTACAAATATTGCATTTAGTTTTTCACCTACCGTCGATTATGTAATATTTAAGGAGTAGATTCCTAGAGTAATAAGCTATATTTAATTGTTAAAATTTTCGTAAGCACACGTTATGTTTTAATATCATAACTACCGGTTTAACTTACGTGTAATTAGATCGAGAAACATCGACTAGTTTCGGAATCAATTCGTGAACCTTAGTCATGAGCAACTGTGATGCGAGCACGAGTCTGACTTTCGCTCGCGTCACAGTCGCTCTAATAATATAATAATATATTTATTTATGTCTCCTCATAAGTAACTTAAATTTACACATAGGTATTTAGGATAAAATAAGATTAAAATAATATGGAACTGCTTTGAGGAGCTGGTGTTTGTAATAGGTTAAGACCTGTAGTACATATCACCAGGCCGCCAACCGATATATTGTTAATATTTACGTATGAGCTTTATTTATAATTCCAGTGTTTATATTTTTTTTACAATTTAGTTTATAGCAATAAAAATATATAATTACAGTACATAGCGTAACATTACATGTGACTTGGATGTAAGTTGTAAATATGTATACCTAGTATATAGTAGTGTATAATATATATATATATATACTTAATTTACTTTCCACAAAATGCTTGTTACACTATTATAATTATTTCATAGAATAAAGTACCATTTATCCGAAATAATCGGAACGGAGGCCGGTTCGGATAATGAAAGTTTTGGATAAAGCCCTTTGAAACACTCCGAAATCCGCGAAATATAATATGGTTGTGAATAAGCCTGCGTGTTATTAACTGAATTTGTGTTGACATGTTAAAAAGGCGCCAAAATATGATTGGAAGCTCAAAGTTTTTAAATATATATGAAGAGGTGTAAAAAATTCGGTATTTTTTTGTTGAAGCAAATTTCGGATAAACGGGACTTTACCATAATTATAAACCAATTTATTAATCTTAATTTAATTGTTAATTTAATCTCCTAACATTGAGAATGATCAATCTTAAAGTTTTATATATTTTCTAATTTAAATTATGACTAAATTATACATAATATTGGAATCGATTCTGAGCGCCATTTTTCTAAACCTATCTTTAAAATTAAAATTTGATAACAGCATAAAAACAATATAAATTTAATTTCTAATAGATTTAAAATTATCCCCTTATTCATAAAAAACTACAATCTATAAATTCACATTAACTTATACATTATTTTGTCATTTACTCTCAAATTCATAATTTAATGTTAAAGAAAGAGACAAAACAGTTTTATAGCTAAATTTGGTTTAGAGGTTTGTTGTTTTTATGAATAAGAGGGTAACTCCATAAAACACTAATTTGACGAAACTACCAAAATAATAGATTTAGAGCTACGCGTCAGAATCGACTCCACTGTCACAGTGTAAAGTACTGCTTATTATTATGATCCTATATATATGATTATATAATAATTCTCATAGAATATAATATGTATATTTGTAAAATTTGTATACAATTGTTATTAACCGTGTACTAGAAATGTTTAATATCCGATATATATATATTGAGTTTTGGATATTGATGACCTACCCATTGCAATATCGCAATTACCAGTCGAATATCTACATTACATTACTAGCGGAATATTCTTTTCAATAATATATATTGGATAACCGATATCTAATATATATGTTATTCGATCAATATATGCATAGATATTACAACTTCAATATATAGATATTGCTATATATTATCTTCTTATCTTGCCCTGTACATAATAATATAATTACTAATTTTTAACTCTAGGGACGTGGACAGGTTTCCGACCGGTGACGACGCGCGATAGTGGTAGTTTTTCTTTTTTTTTTTTTTACCATATATGTGTCATCGGGCTCATGTCATTGGATGTCTATCCGCTTGTCTGATACAGTGGAAAAATATGCAGTAGTTCAACTCATTATAAAACACTTGATCAACGTAAATGGTATTTTAAGATGATAATGGAATGGAAACCCCAATTATGTTATTGGTATACATTGGCGAGGCACAAATGATCAATGATAGGTGAGAATGGAAGCAGGTTAATAGATCTAATAGGGTATATTGGGGGGAAAGGGATTATTAGTGATGGAGACTGGGAATTCCATTGCTAGCAATATACCCAACCAGGTCGACCTCCTTGCGGTTCTACCTGGAAACTATCATGGTTAATTCCTGATGAATTTATCACGATGGACTAACTGGCCTGTTTTCATTCTCACCTATCACCCTTCACTGGTGCTCCGCCAGCGTATCCCGTTAGCGCAGGCAAGGTTACCATTCCATTTACACCCTTAAAAAAAGTATATTTTTAGAAATGAGGTTACTAATTCCCGTTACTAACTAATCCCTTTTCCCCCAACATAAAAGTGTTTGGAAATTAAATACTATCTGTGTTATGCCGGTGAAAATAAATTTATTAACATTCTTTTACGAGGCTGTAGTACCACTGGAACTGATTATATTTCCCAAAGAAACGTTAGACGAAAAATTACAAAAAATTACGAGCCTTCAATACTAATACTTTTTTGCCGTGTTTTCACCCACGTTTCCATGGAAAAACTATTCAGTTACACTAGTAGAACACTTCTTTAAAAGGATGCTAATGAATTCAAATTAATCTGCTTCGTACTTTGTAGATAAAAACTTTATTTATTATTACGCGAAGTTCCTTGCGGCGTAAACAGAGTTTTTTTTTAATGGATGATAATGGAATGGTAACTCCGCCTGCGCTATCGGTATACACCGGCGGGGCACCAGTGAAGTATGATAGGTGAGGATGAAGTAGGTCAGTTAGCCCATCGTGACGAATTCAACAAGAATTGTTCACGATGGTTTCCAAGGGGAACCACGTGGAGGTCGACCTAATAAGGTATATTACTAGCAATGGGGCTGCCAAACTCCAATGCTAACAATCCTTTTCCCCCCTAGCGTAAACAAAATATCAAGGGCTCTGTTTACATGTAAAAATTATTATCAGCCGCATGTTAATATACTCATATTTAACACGTTTACTTCGGATTTTGGTATTTTATTATGAATTGAACTACTGCATTATTTTATACTGTGTCCTCGCTATGTCGTTCGCTATTACATGGGATTGTTCGTGATGTGATACGTCTGAAACATCAGAACATTGTTTCATGGTTCATCAACATCATTTTTTGGGTCGAATCAGGGCATCATTTCTCTAAAGTCTAAAATAAAAAAATTTATTTGATATCACAGCGACATATTTATTGTAAGGGCCAATATGAACAAATTTTTTAATAGGTTTAAGTCGAAATTATTATAAATTTAATTTATCATAGTTCATGAAACATTGGCCGGCAGCATCACTGCAATGCCTCTGGTGTTGCGGGTGATCTTGGACGGCGGTAGTCACTTACCATCAGGTAAGCCACACGCTCGTTTGCCTCCTGTGTTATAAAAAAAGTAATTTCACGAAATTATCAAATTTAAATATTAAGTTTACAGAAATGACACCCTAGAATCGGCCCTATTGTACGTTACATCTTTCAAAATTCGAATTACTGGGCGTAATGTTATGAACATTGTTTATTTTGAACTTTATGAATTGGAGATATGGTAGGTATTGTGAAGATTTTTGCCGTACATTTATATAATATTAATACAGAATTGCTGAACCGATTTTGATAAAACTCGATTTGTGATTTATTGTTTGCAAGAGACGCGAATTAGCGTGATCATTTAGGTAAAATGTGTTAAGTTATAAGGTTGTCTCGAAGTTTCGCTCACGTTACACTGCCTATGGTGACTAGACTGTTATATCGATGTTAATTTTAAAATGTTTTGACGAAAAGTACACTTCGGTTTTTTTTTCTATATAATTTGTGAATTCACTATGTACCTGCATTAGTATCGAAGAATTTTCATCGAAAAATGAAACAAATAATTTAAAACAAACCGCGCAACCACGAGATCTTTTTTTTACGAATGATTCAATAAATTAGACGGACGTATGTTGACCAAATAGGCGACGTGCTGAAGAAGGGCCAAATTAAAAGTACCCGTAACCGACGAGCGTGTATGACAAGATTGATGAATGTGGAAGAAGCGAAAGAGGTTTGTTTGAATCGAAGCATTTGGTGTTCCATTGTTTCTGCCTACCCTAATGGGAGACAGGCAATGACGGATATGTATGTATGTATGTTCAATAAATTGTTTTCATATTTCGACCCATTTAATGATATTAATGCTTACCAGTGCCCGATCCAGTATTTTTTTAGCAGCGAAGATATTTGCCGCCCTTTATTTATTTATTTATTTTAATAAGGCACACATAACAAATTATAACCTTTTGTTAGGTTTATATATAGATAATTATGGTGTTAATGCTAGGTTATAATTCAAAAACATGTGTACACAACATGATTAACATTTAAACATAACATTTTAATTTCGACACGTGGAAGACATAATAATTAGTAAACATTATATACATATATCATAATTTACATTAAAAGAAATTGAAACCATAAAACTATCATCACACAAGAAAAACAACCTTCTTCAAATGCCCACAATTTTAGGGTCCTTGTTGTCATCCAGTAATTTTTTTAGCAGCGAAAATATTTGCCACCCTTTTTCAAATGCCCACAATTTTAAGGCCCTCAATGCCTTTCTGGATGTTTGCCCTATTTGTTCCCCTAGATCGGGCCCTGATTGTGACCTGTCTATTGAAATTCAGTTTCTAAGTCTTCTTAATGATTTTCATATTACCCTATGTATTACATTTTTTTTTTTTTATAAAATGTTAACAATGAGATATTTTACTAAAATAAAGTTTTATTTTTTTTAAACCACCATCCAGTTTCTCTGGGTATCCTAAAGGTTGGCTGGTAGAGAATGCCTATAGCATTGAGTCGAGTTTTTGTACCATATTTTATTGATCAATAAAGTTTTTTTTTTTTTACGACACGGGGCAAACGGACATGCGGTTCACCTGATGGTAAGTGACTACCGCCGCCCATGGTCACCCACAACAAGTTTAAATAACTAGTAAATAATATAAGTATAGTAAGCTATGCAATAGTTTCACAAATAAAATATATAAAAAAATTGCATTTACCCAATAATAGTTTATTAATTTGATTATCTGTTACTAAGTGAACGTGACAAATAACATGACTAATGCTTTTATAAAAAAAATAAAATAAAAAAATCCATATTATCTATGGTCAAAGTTTGGCTAATTATTTTATTACATTTGTTATTATTTGCCTACGTTAAAGTGATTATAAAGGTCATTAGATTGTCGACTTATATATATACAAACATATACTTACTATCTGTATCTCGCGGTTACTCTTCTTCACGCGGCGTGAATGAGTACATAAAATATCCAAGAAAATAATTGTAAGTTTTTTATTAGGATGTAACCTATCCATTTACTAAAATTTATTCAAATCCGTTCAATACTTTTTGTTTGAAAAAGTAACAAACATACATCCTATACAAACTTTCGTATTTTTTTAGTAACCTAAAATGGCGAACAAGCTAACGGCCGATTTTGTTAAATATTGTAGCCGTGGAGTTAGTTTAAGTTAAAAATTCATACCAAATATCCAATGATAACGTTACAAGGTCAGGTATTTAGATTAGATAATAATATGTATGATAAATCGACTCATCAGCCAATACAATTTGTATGGAAATATATAATCGATACTAGTATCCAAAATTCCAAATATATACACGTTCAAATTATAAACAAATATATTTATAGCTTTATTAACTTAATATAATAAATGTATGTGCAATGGCAGTGAATTTACAGAGTACGGAGGAATAACACCTGAGTCCTCAGGAATGGCAACGCATGGGGGTATTATGGGCGAAACAGTATACTCTGTTAAGTCCATGGTACCGCTCATGTCTATAGGCGATGGTTACCACTTTCCATCAGGTGGGCCGTCAGCTTGTTTGCCATTCTAAGTTGTATAAAAAAAAACCTAGATGGTCGTATACAGTGCGGTTCTAGAGATGTTTCCTCCCATGAACGCTCAGGTTATGAAATGAGCTCCTATATCGTGTTTTTTCCAAGACAACGAATGGGAACAAGAGAAAGAATGGTGTTCTTCAGAAAAGGGTAAAAAAGTTCCTGCAGGGCCGGCAACGCACGTGTAATGCCTCTGGTATTGCAGGCGTTTATAGGCCACGGTAACTGCTTACAATCAGATGGGCCGTATGCTTGTTTGCCACCTTAGTGGTATAAAAAATTTTGTCAAAGCTAATCAGGAATTATCTATTTAAACGGATCCGATTAGCTATCCCCATAATCACTTGATCCTCCTTAAATCCTGCTGAAATTATGTATTATTATGTATACATATATATGTATGAATTTATATTTATATAAGTTGTTAATATTTGTATTTTTTTATAAATATTATATGTAATGTATATACAGGAAATAGTTACCGGTTTTCAGTAAATGGACCGTCAATTTGTTTACTATTTTTGTTTAATAGACGTTAATGTTTTGTTTAATAACCCTATAACTAGAACATTTAGCTTACCGCGCTGCAGAACAAACCTAGGACTGCATCAACCTCTGGCCAGGATTAGTGCGTCATACAATGAAATTAATGCCAAATTACCTGAAATTGATATAGTGTACGATAATTCGAATTCCTACAGGAATAAATTGCTGAAGCACTTTGTACGACAATCTTATGAAAATTAACTCTAATTGTCATAATATATATTTTTTTAATATTTTGTTAATTTAATTTACTCATAATCTTAGTTTCTGATATTGCTCACAACTTAGATTACATGTTTAT